GATTCTAACAAAGATGGCGCTGGTGAGGTCGGCTGCCGTCACGACTGCTCCGACCACTTTTTCTTTGTCTTTGTTTTTTAAGTTAGTTTTCAGCGTTTCTAAATCGGCAAAATCATCACCATTGGGTACATTAGGTATGACAGTGACACTCTTGTTTCTATTGGTATACAATGTACTCACAATTCGAAGTTTTTAACTCCGGATCCGAGCTGGCCGAGTGAGATCTTGAGGGAGAACAAAGGGAAGCGGCGGCGGCCTAGAGGGAAGCGAGCCGGCGTCAGGAACAGGCTGAGAGCTCGTGCACACCGCACACCTCTGCCTAGCATCCTGCTCGCCAACGTCCAGTCACTGGAGAACAAGCTTGACGACCTCAGGGCCAGGATAAAGTTCCAGAGAGACATTCGGGACTGCAATCTCCTCTGCTTCACCGAGACATGGCTGAACCCAGCGGTGCCGGACCACGCCATCCAGCCGGCCGAGTTCTTCTCGGTTCACCGCATGGACAGGACACGGGACTCGGGGAAGTCAAGGGGAGGCGGCGTGTGTTTAATGGTGAACAACAACTGGTGCAACAGTGCGAACGTTGTTCCTCTCACACGCTCCTGCACACCAAATCTGGAACTACTGTCCATCATGTGTCGTCCTTTTTATCTACCTCGGGAATTTACATCGGTCATTGTAAGTGCCGTTTATATTCCACCACAAGCGGACACGGTCACCGCCTTATGCGAGCTGCATGAGGCACTCACACAGCACCAGACACAACACCGGGACGCTGCGCTTATTGTGACGGGGGACTTTAATAGCGCCAACCTCAAACGCGCAGCGCCGAACTTTTATCAACACATCACCTGCCCCACCAGAGGTGAAAGGACACTGGACCACTGCTACACTACGGTCAAGGACGGCTACAAGGCACAATCTCGCCCTCCGTTTGGCAAATCCGATCACGCCGCCATCTTCCTCATGCCAAAATACAAACAAAGGCTGAAACAGGAAGTTCCGGTTCAGAGGAAGGTCGCGCGCTGGACAGGACGCACTCGATGACGCAGACTGGGACATGTTCAGAAACAGCTCCGATGATGATGTCAACGTGTTTACGGAAGCGGTTGTGGGATTCATCGGGAAACTAGCGGATGATACCGTGGAGACAAAGACTATCACAACGTTTCCCAACCAGAAGCCGTGGGTGGATAAAACCATCCGCGACGCTCTGAGATCCCGCACCGCTGCCTACAACACGGGACTCACGACGGGGGACATGGACCCGTACAAAGCCGCGTCATATAACGTGCGGAGGGCGGTGAAAGAGGCGAAGCAGCGCTACGGGAGGAAACTAGAGTCACAACTCCAACAGAGTGACTCTAGGAGCCTGTGGCGGGGACTAAGGACAATAACGGACTATAAAGCACCAACAACCGGTATGACGAACGCGGCCGTGACTCTGGCAGACGAGCTGAACACTTTCTATGCTCGCTTCGAGGCTGCAGCTGTTTGTGTATGTTGCGCCAGTTTGGACCTCGATTGAGATTAAGATGGGGCCGCAAAGAAGGCATGAGGTGATCGGATCTAGAAATTTCATTGCCTTCCTCAAACGATGCTCGGAGGCTTCGCGAGGATTGGTGCCTCTGGCTGCATGCTAAGGACTCCAACTGGTTAGACGTAGTGGCCCTAGTCGCGTTGCGCTTAACCGCATCAGTGTCTGCAGACAGAGTGAGTTTGACTGCCAGTAGCACCTAGCCCAGTCGGTCAGCAAACTGCCCTTCACCCTCGGTGGCGCGTCGGACACTGGTGACTGTCCGAGCCAGAAGTAAGGAGAGGCCTTCAAGAAAGATATGGTGAAACACCAGTGGAATTAGGCACTTAAAAAGTCTCGGCGCTACCAAGTTTAGGAGGTTTCCGAGGACAGGCGTATACAATGCTCCCCCCGTCACCAATAACCGCTCGGGGTTTCGTACGATTCCCCCCTCAGAGACGCTGGTTTCGTGTCTACCAGCACGCTCCTGTGTCTGGTGTGTGCTCTTCACTAGAGATATTTAAACATCTCTTTATCTCAGTATGTGTGAGTTTGCCTCATGCAGGGTGATCCCCTACACATAACCGGCTATGCTTCAGTTGAAACACGGGTTGTCCATTCCACTGTGCTTTCCTTGTTTGGTGGAATTATAAACTCGCCCGGGCACTTAAGTAAATTATACACCCACACTCTCGTGGCTCCTCGTATCTCAATGTGTAAAACTAATCTGCCCCTGTTACGCCCTCACCTCGAGGTTAGTGGGATGTTAGAGGTAGTGGCTAATAAAGGACGGACACATTGAATTGAAACTCCTAAAGTTAACGTTCCCTAGTGTTCATGTGTGAGACAGGAGCGGACTTGTCGGTGGAATATAAACGGCAACAACTGATGTAAATTCCCGAGGTAGATAAAAAGGACGACACATGATGGACAGTAGTTCCAGATTTGGTGTGCAGGAGCGTGTGAGAGGAACAACGTTCGCACTGTTGCACCAGTTGTTGTTCACCATTAAACACACGCCGCCTCCCCTTGACTTCCCCGAGTCCCGTGTCCTGTCCATGCGGTGAACCGAGAAGAACTCGGCCGGCTGGATGGCGTGGTCCGGCACCGCTGGGTTCAGCCATGTCTCGGTGAAGCAGAGGAGATTGCAGTCCCGAATGTCTCTCTGGAACTTTATCCTGGCCCTGAGGTCGATTGGCTGGTGCGGATCTCTTAAACACCCATAATTCCCTCCCACACTCACTCACCAAGGTGGAGCGATTCTGGGGACTCAGGCCTCATCTATGTGTCGGACGACTCGGCGTATCGTAACCAGGACGTTTCTAGCCCACTAATGCTTGGCTCGGAGTGAAGCACCACAGGACGGAGATTTGCAGTCAGTAAAGGCCGAAGTCTCTCTTGGAACTTATCCTATGGGGCCCTGGACGGGAGGCTACACTATATAGCTCTACAAGCCGTCACTCATCGTTTCTCCCAGTGAAGCACTGGACTAGATGGACCCCCTCTCGCAAGCAAGGGGTGATGTGTTCTGACTCTTCAGGCGCCACAGTGCTTTGACTCATCGTTGCTCAGGCAGTCGTGCACGAAGCTTCTGACCAGTGCGTCTTGTGTCCTAGATGCCGGTGGCGCTCGCTGGCCTACACTCACTCCGCTAAGCCTCTGCTTCCCTCTTAGGTCCTCCACCGCCCTTTATCCCATTGTCATCTCCCATAGTCTAGAGACTGTCGCGACACCATCGTTCGCGCCAGCTCGGGATCGGTGCCGGGGGACCTTATGAAAAATACTTCTCTCGAAATTAGTGACAACGAGACGGCCAGCTACATGGCTATACCCCAATTAGAAACAAGAGTGTTCACTGCCATACCTCATAACCTGAAGCGATTGGCTACCACTTAAGGAATCTGGGTTGGAGAAAACTTAGGTTTTTTCCGATGCCCAGTTATGAGAGAAGAACAAGACGTTGAAAACCTCATCACTCTTCAAATTAAACAAGTACAGTATTAAATAAAGGACAACAAAGGAGAAGAAGGTGCGCGTGTTCGATGATGGTAACCTCAAGGTCACGCTAATGACAGCGAGCAGGAGAAGAACTACCAGACCCCCGCTCCGACCTCACCGAACTCCACAATCTTTGGTAGAATCTAAGAGTTTCTGACCGAAGTCTCAAATGTAATTCATTACGTTAATGGTGAATTTGTGTGTTTCCACTGTGAGTTTGGTCAAGGGAGAAATAAGCGATGACAAAGGAGCTGATAGTGGACTTCAGCACTAAGCAGGAGAGGAACTACCAGACCCCCGTCATCAACGAGTGCCCAGTGGAGAGAGTGGACAGCTTCAAATACCTCGGAGTTCACATCACGCAGGACCTGTCATGGTCCTGTCACATCAACACCGTGGTGAAAAAGGCCCGTCAGCGTCTCTACCACCTCAGACGCTTGAGAGACTTCCAACTGCCCTCCAAGGTGCTCAGGAACTTTTACTCGTGCACCATAGAGAGCATCCTGACGGGAAACATCTTAACCTGGTTCAGGAACAGCACCATGCAGGACAGACGAGCTCTACAGAGGGTTGTGCGGTCAGCTGAGCGCACCATCCGCTTGAGCTCTGTTCACTCATTTCTGTTTGCGATTTATCTGAAGTAAGTCAATCAAAAAATACAACCTCACAATGGAAAACTTTAACCTTTTTGTTGTGGAAGACATTAATTTTATACGTATCTTTTAAGAGATTCAATAAATTTTTGCTCATCAACAGAAATCTTCAGACAGTTATCTGATGGAAAAGCCATGACTCTTCAAGAGTCTGAGGTAATAAAGCCAGCTTGTTCTCATTAGTACATTTTATAACACATGTTGATTCATTTTGAAGTTCAGAGAAAAGAAAAATACATTATTTTTAAAACTGAAAATAAATTTATATACTATTCATAAATTATTTTACACGAAAGGAAACAGTTGCATACTCCTTGTGCATACCTTGAGCTACTTTGTGACCAAGTAGGGCATGTCCGGGATTTTAAAACACGTTGGTAAGGTTAGACAGTTAGCAACTGTTAATGTGTTAAGGGCAAACTTAGATTGGCATTTGCTAAAAGTTCAACTGATTTCACTTATATCCCTCAAGTACAGCTTTTTTGAATGTTGTTATGATTAAAGTTTTTGAGAGTTACAAATATAGCCATCAAAGAGGGATGAAAGATACTGAGCCTTTTATCTTGGCCAGCTTTTATAGTTCAGCAGTCCGAGGAGAGCTATGTCAGTTGAAGACTCTCCCATGTCAGCCAGTGATCAAGAAGAGTAGGCCAGGATGTCCTTGGAGATAGGTGGAGGGGCTGCACATACTGCACTAACAACCTGTCTCTCTTTATTTCCAGTGGATGTACATTTCGATGTACACTTAACGCAAAGGAATGGACGTTTGATGCACAGTTCATCTGCACGCACTGAAGAAGAGATCCATGTATATTTTTCCTGCTAAGTTCTAAGTTGTCGTTTAGATAATTGCCAAAATGCAAAATGCTTTCAAGATAACTTTTCTCAAAAAGTAGACATTTCTATTTTTAATTGTCATTTACTTGGCAATTTGTTTTTTACTGAGACAGACAGAGAAGACAGAAACTTATTGTAGAGGGAACAATCTGAAATATATAACGTGAATATAAATAATCAATGAAAATTAAATACTACAAGAATGTGCTTGCATGTAAAAGGCGGCTCTGAATTAGTAACTGTTCTAACAGAGAAACAGGGAAAAGGCTATAAAGGATGTTTTTTCCTTGTGCACTTTGAGCTCATTAAACACACATAGATTACTGTATGTGAGGGTGCAATGTTTGGCCATGATGCTTTATTGATTAATTCATCACTCATTATTGACACAACAGTGCAAGAAAGCACCAGTGTGGTTGGAATCAATATACTGTTGAAATGATTTTATATTGTTATTCAAATGCAGCTCTTTTTGATAAATGCATTATGCACATATGTATCTGGCTTTTTCTTATTTTCCCACTGTCAACTCCTCATTTCAGGTTCAGGTTACTTTTTACATATAAGGCTCAATCATTTGGAAAGCATTCAGGGCCATTATCAAAAACACTCAAAATCAGGAGCCATTATGTCTGCAAAATAACACGGATCCATACATCCACCTGCGAATAAATTTCATGTACCCAATAACAATTCTAAAGAATAACTAGAATTGACATAACTCAATGGATATGAAGCAGAGAGATAGAAGAAGAAGGATAGCAAAGGGGACAGAAAGGACGAAGAATAAGATAAGAACCGGGCTTTTCAGGACCTAAGAGACCAACACAGAGAAGTGAGCTAAGCAGCGGAGGAGCTATTGAACATTTCAAATCTCCCGGCCACCAGAATTCTGAGACAGGATATTCAGGCGATTTACATTCGGACTTCATCTCCTTCTCAGCAATTGTCTCTCTGACCGTCACCACAATCGTAGGGTAACTTGACTCCAGTCACAAGGATAAAAAACTACACGTTTCATGATAACTAGACAGCTATGGACATTCTCTCGGAGACTACTCTAGATATGGCTCAATCTTCAGAGTACAACATGCTAATTCACCACTTATCAACTACGGCATGATTCGATTGTGGACATTGCCCAACAAAAGGTATGGCATAGAAGTGTTGGCCTTTTTTGCACAATGCATACTAGGTCATCGGCTATATTTCTTCATTTCCAGTAAATACTTAAGGGTTAGCAGCTCCAGGGTCTCCGTCTCCCCGGGCTTATTTTGTTGGGACTATATATTTTATTTAAGTATTTCTTTAGTCTAGACACTTGTGCACAACACTGGACATTATATTCTTCATTTCCAGTTAATACTTGTACAGCTGCTGTTATTGTATATATATATTTATATTTCTTCATACATTCTGTGTATTATTGTTATTTTATTTTTCAACTTTAATTTATATATTTTATCTTATTCTTTCCCAGTTAAATTTACCCTTCATTCTAATTTGTGTTGTACAGTTATTTCATTTTTAACTTTAATTTTTATATTTTATTTTATTCCTTCCTAGTTAAATTTACCCTTTTTAATTTTCATATTTATTTCCTATCTTATTCATAGCCTTTTCTTTTTTTCTTTAGGTCACGAGCAGTTGTCTAAGCATTTCACTGCATATCGTACTGTGTATGACTGTGTACGTGACAAATAAAATTTGAATTTGAATTTGATTTACTTTACAACAGCATCTATTTTCATGACTCGTCCACGAGCAAAAAAGTATATTAGTTTCAATGCCAAGTGCCATTCTGTGTTGTTACCTTGGCAAGTCTCTACCCAGATAGCCTTGTCATAATATAATATGATCTGTAAAACAAGAAGTTACACATACAGTAGAGTCTGTGCACCAGAGCTGTCACTTCGAATTCTAGACTGCGGAGAGAATCAGAATGTGAAAAAAAGAAATCCTGTGTTTCAGTATAGGAAAATGTAGCTCGCCTACATGGTCAGCGTATTATAATCTCAATTGTAGAAATTTGAGCTGACAAATTAGAAACGTGTTAATTCGTATAATTTCAGAGCGTTAAAATAGGCAGTATAAATCTGGTCCCAACCTGCAAACAAGGAAATCTCTGGCTCTCTATCAAGATAGCCATGTAGTAAACATAATCCACTGGCTGATTTCGCCACAGAACTCTTTTTCTGTCGTGCCCCGCTCTCGTTACCTTGCTAATTGGCTGACAGGGCAAACCTGTTTGACGATACTTCATCATCTGTATAAGATACGACAAACCTGATCACATCTGTAACCGATTCAGACATAACAGTTCAGCGCACTCTCTCTCAACTACCTCGCCCAATGACCGACATGACCCATAGAGCTTGTGGTTCGAAGACTACTCAGGAAAAAATACTTAGTACGAGAATCCTGCATCACACTGAACATACGGAGTGCACAAGCGGCAAGAATCTTGAGTAGCCCATATCTACTAAAACTGAGATGACGATCCGCTCAGCTTGACTGTGAATAAAATGCACTACATGTGGGAGCAATCATCAAGAAAATGGGCAAGACATACAAGTGACCAGCCTGATAAATTCTCCCTCGATCTTTAGCGCAGGACACACTGGACATTCTGGACATTGTTTTCACTTCATCACTTAATCACTTTAGGCATATTTGCACTGCACAAGACATAATGTGGATTGCACAACACTGGTCACTATATTCTTCATTTCCAGTTAATACTTGTACAGCTGCTGTTATTGTGTATATATTTATTTATATTTCTTCATACATTCTTATATAGTTCTATATTGTGTATTGTCTATTGTGTATTTTGTTGTACAGTTATTTTATTTTTTAACTTTAATTTATATATTTTATCTTATTCTTTCCCAGTTAAATTTACCCTTAATTCTAATTTGTGTTGTACAGTTATTTCATTTTTAACTTTAATTTTTATATTTTATTTTATTCCTTCCTAGTTAAATTTACCCTTTTTAATTTTCATATTTATTTCCTATCTTATTCATAGCCTTTTCTTTTTTTCTTTAGGTCACGAGCAGTTGTCTAAGCATTTCACTGCATATCGTACTGTGTATGACTGTGTACGTGACAAATAAAATTTGAATTTGAATTTAATTTAGAACCTTTGCATTAATAGTGACGTAGTTCCTGTAGGATAGTGCTTTAACTGAAAAATTACACAGGCGCTTGGTAACGCTGTGTTTATATAGGAAGTAGCGCTGTCAGCGTTAATCTCATTAAAATGATGTTAACGGATTTACGTGGCAAATCTCCGTTAATGAGTTATCACGGATCGCCCCGTGCGTGAGGCTGGATGGTGTCAACATGTTAACGAGCTAACCGCACTAACAATGCCATGTAGCCCCATTTTAACGAGATTGACGCTGGCAGCACTAATAGGAAGATAACCAGAATACAACCAGATGGCCATCGGCTGAGTCGAGTGTCCATTTTCAAAGTAAAGCAAGTTGCTGTCATTAGCAGAGGCTGACTCAGATTGATTGCAACTTGTTGGCAGTTTATCTGCATTTATAAATAACATGGCTGTTATTTGCAAACCTTCACCAATCTGTCAGACAATGATGCAGTCAATCTGAGGTACACCATAATCCCTTGGAGACAGGTTGCCTTCCGCCAGGTGAAATGAGCAATCTCTTTGCAATTGAAAATGTTTGCCATGAGATTGAAGGTGTTGCAAGCTCTGGGCAATCAGTTGGTGATCGCAATTACTAGCATACGACCAGCACAAAGCATCAATTGCCAAGTTTTTTCCCAGTCACAAGAAATAGCAGTCCTATTTTCTGTTGTGGTGTGCCTTAGCCATTTGGGAGTCCAGTGAGAGGATTGCAGGAGAGTGTAGTTTCAGGAACATTAATGAATGAATGAATTCCAAGCAGGCCTACCTGAAACTAAGAATGCATTTCGTAGTTCTCTCAGTGACAGCGTTCCGGTTCTTGAAACATCAGTGCGGAAGAAAATTTCCTAGAAAACAAAAAGAAAAAAGCCACAATTGGAATGTAGCAGAAGTATTATTCATACATAATTAACTATAGAGCAGTGCATGTAGTTCAGAAAATTTTAACTTTTTTCAGCATCAAATATTTAACCTAATTTTCATTGTCTTTACCTTGAATGTAACAACTTTGTTCCACAGACGAAGAAATTCCTCACTGTTGAGTTTTCCTGTAATTGATGTCTGTTTTACCGAACATTAAGGCAACAAAGCTATGTGTGCGAGTAAAACATGTACTGGCCAACTGGGTAGCTCCTCTACAAGCCACGAAGCTGTGCTGACCAGTGTTGGGGAGTAACGGAATACATGTACCGCCGTTACATATTTAAAATACAAAATATGAGTAACTGTATTCCGTTACAGTTACCGTTTATAAAGGTGTTATCAGAATACAGTTACTTTGTCGAAATGAATGGATTACGCGGCGGTATTTTCCTGTTTCATATGTTAGGCTATGCCCTCTTTACTTTTGGTTTCCACGCCGGTGGAAACCCAAACAAAACACGCATTAAGAGGCTCTAATATCTGTGTCTCAATCTCGCAGTCCATGTCACCTCTACTTGGGGCATGTATTCTGTAATCTGTAGTGGAATACATTTTAAAAGTAACCTTCCCAACACTGGTGCTGACCCACTAAAGCGTGAACTCTACAGGACTGCTAACCATATGAAGAAACTCTCATAAAACCTCAAAGTGACAAGGTGAAGACTTTTCTAATTGGCCTTTTTCCAAAAACATGAGATGAAATTAAGACCTTTATTTGGCAAGAACTCTGAGATATCCTTCAATGCTACATCCAGATGAACAGAATTTGTTGGGACTTCCTCACCTGGATTGTTGACTGTTTAACTCTGTTTAAGATACTTTTTGATATTATTTTCAAATTACTTAGCTTTAGTCACAATGTTGCTGTGATCATGCATGCAAATGTTTGAAAATGTGGAGAACATGTAAATCTATTATTTGCATTGTCTGAGTGACTATGACAAATGTCACATGCACCACAACAGGATACATCCATTAAAGCAACCATGCTGCGACAGGCGTCAATACTGAAGCCTCCAGATTTCAGGTCTCCTAAATGAAACAGAAATATATATTTCAGCAATATATAAGTCTTGAGCTCTTAAGCTGTAGTCTCTTGAAGTCCAAACCTTTTAGGATGTTTTCATTTAGAAGCCTCTGAAGCTGCTCAGCATCCACTTCTTCATACTGGAAACGAAAACAGGATTTCTCTTATACTTCTGTTTATGAGCCTCGGTCACTTGTTAATGTCCAAATTAAACTGTCCACACACACTAGCAAACACACACTCTGACTAATTTGTGTATTGCTATAATTTCTCTTTTACAATACAAAATCTTTGCTAGCTTTAGCAAAACTCTAACCCATCAAGCTAAATATTACGAGTTGTAATCCAGTTATTTCAAGTTGCCCCGAAATAATTATTTTAGATGGAAAAGGTGGATACATATTTTGATGATTAGCACTGAAGTAATGCATGGCTATTAGTTCAGCATGTGGGTGCAATTCTAGGGCCACTGTTATTCACAGTTCTCATAATTAAGTGAGTTACACGTTGATTTTTGTCGTGTCTGGAAACATCTAAGTGCTTTCAAAAAAGATTTGAACTCAGATTAAAACCCATTTTAAAAAAAAAAATGTTTCCAATAAAGCTGGCTAACATTACTTAGCCAGTTAAATATTGCTACTTTTCATAGGACACTAAATTAGAAAAAGTTTGTCTATAAGTACCTTGGTTTTATTACTATGGACACTGAACTTGTCTTAAAGAAATGTGTAATTTAGAGCTATACAATGCTAATATTTAAACAGTCTTTTTCCATTTTCATATTTTATTTCTTTCTTATTTATATCAACTTAGTTCTTCAGTAAGTTAAGCTTTCTTCACCCTACTGACCCAATAATGATGTGTCATACAAGATATGCATATTTTGATCCTAGCTTAAATTGCTACTAAATAACCAACAGTGAGAAGACAACTAAACCACAAGTGCATCTTTAAAGTAGCCAAAAAATTAATCAGGATGATTAAGCTTTCACTTTAAAATTTCTCACTTTTATACACAACTGATGTTCTGTTGTGGATTTTTTTAGTTGAGAATAAATGTAACGAAATGCATTTAAACTTTCGTGTTAGCACGTTTTATGTTCATTGTATACAGAAGTCAAACAGTTTTATTTTGTGCACTGAAGTGTAATAGTTAGTCAAACCTCTCACAGATAAGTTTTAGATAAGGATGAAAAAAATCTTATCAAGCAAACAAAAGTTTCCACTGTGTGATAAAACTCAGTCTATATAAGAGAAATAGTAAACTCAACAGTGTCAAGTATGCTCGTGAGAAAATAACAGGAAGTTACCTTGTCAGAGTGTTTATGGAAAAACTCTCTCCTTTGTTCATCATATTGTTGATTTTTTACCTTGACCTGAAACAGAGAAATTAAATTCTGTGTTAAATAAAAAGCTATTTACATATCATTTAGCATATAACACAACCGCAACCAGACGTGATTTATTGTTGAACACCCACCTTCTCATCAAGCTCATGTTTGTGATCACCAGAATTATCACTGCAGAGAAAGAAAAAAATCACAATTTATTTGTTCTTGTCTGTTTTGCATATATCTCATGCAGATTGTTCCAATTTAGCAATGTTGTGTTTGCACAAACAATGAGAGTGCATACTAGCAGTTGGTCTCTGATTTTGCGTGGATGGTCAGGATAAAGGAGGCTGTCTCGTTGGGATTGAAGGTGGATGGCACAATCAAGTATTCCCCATGCTTTAACATAAAGAACTCCATCACCTCACGGGCATTCAGGTAGGTTTTAGTTTGGGCAACAGGTGCCTGGGATTTGAAGAACTCCTCTGTAAACTTCCCTCTCTGTGTCTTATACTGAAATAGCAGGTAGATATGTCAGTTATCTTACACCATTTAAAGTGGGACTGCTGTATCTGTAAATGGGAACTGGATACAAACTGTTTCTTACTTTTTCAGTCACCTTGAAGGAAATCAGTGCAAGTTGGTTCATGTTCAGAATAAGAAATATACTCAGTTAGTGTCAGAATACAACCCTAATGAAATCTGTATGCATCTTTTACTAATGATTATATGCTCTTCAAAGATGATGACAACTGAGCCAAAGGTTTAATCATTGAAGGAATAGCAGTGTAGCCTTCAAGTTGAGGTCATCCTTATCACCATCCTGATGTGCAATACCTTTGCAACTTGGAAACGATTCAAAACATAAAAGTGTCATGACATTTCCATATTAGGCAGCAAAGAGTAATGTTTACCTCAAATATGAAAAACCCAATGTGGAGGTTTTGCGCCAGGTGTCTGTTCCTTTTTTCGGGCTTTTGCATGAGAGACACCATTATGTTTTTATCACCGTCTTTCTCTGAGTATCCACCGCAAATTTTGAAACGACACTGTGGATTAGTCCAGAAACTGTCTAGAAAGCAAATAAAAAACATGGTTTATTTGCTGGACACAAAAAAATGAAAGTTCAAAAATGAACCTGAAAGCAAGGCTGGTTAAATAGTCCAGGTCAGGTGGGTGAAAGGTTCACTTAACTTTTGTTTAATAAATAATAAATGACAAAGTCATGCAATTAAATGAGCTATATAGATAATATACTGTGGAAAAGACTTTACAACTCTGTTTATGGGTCTGTATTGTTATGGATGTCCAACTTATTCTTTCCATTCACAAGAAAAAACTATGTTACCATATTTGGGCTTTTAATATTGTAACATATTTTTTACTACTGGTTACAGAATTTTAATACCTACAATACTTGGAAAAAATAACTGAAATTCACTTTTTTTTTTTTAGTTGAACATAACAGAGTTATGTTAAACTAAAAAAAATTAAGCAATGACCTTAATACTAACTACACTAACTAAAGAACTTGTTCCCCTATTGGACCCATTGTTAATTTTAGGGTCCGCATCAAGACTAAAAGAATAATCTTATTTAATAATTGCTGAAATAAATTCCTACATAGCACCTATGACCTTCAGGACTCTTTTATCTCTTTTAATTGTCTATTTCATCAAATATAATAAGATGGATAAAGAAACCGAGGTTCATAAAAATCTTAAATGTGAATCTGTTAAATATTAAAATCACATAAACACTACATGTATGTGTTCGTGCTTTACCAATTTGTGCTTATTTCGGTACATTCTTTCTAGTATACACTCTCGGTCAAAAGTTTTAGAACATCCCAATTTTCCCAATTATTTATTGCAATTCAAGTCATTCAAGTCCAGTGAATAGCTTGAAATGGTACAAAGGTAAGTGAACTACCGGAGGTATAAAAGATAAATAAATAAGATTTTTTTTTAATGGCGTGGTTACCCAAATTAATGTACATTTTTGGAATTATACACAAAGGCCTTTTTCATGGAACACAAAATGGGTTAGCAATTAAAAGCTGTGCTGGGACAATGGAGGTTGATCAAGCTTTGAAAACTTCAATTACTGATTCCTACATGTGTTCCAACTTTTCTGGATTCCTTCCAACCCCCTCTGTCTGCATAAAAGCAGTATGAAACACACTGTGGTACCATACCCTTGTGATCAGCCCTCTGACCACCACCAGTAGGCAAACATGGGGTTAGTATCTTGCCCAAGGATATTTGGCATGCAGCCAGGATGCAGCCTGGGATCGAACCACCGACCTTCTGATTAGTGGCTCTGCCACCTGAGCTACAGCCACCTCAAATAACTCAGAGGACATGTTTCTGAGAAACTACACGGCTCACAGGACAACAGCTTCAAGCACAGTTTAATAGTGGTCATAGTAAGCAAGTCTCAGTTTCAACTGTGAAGAGAAGACTTCGAGCTGCAGGTTTGACAGGACAATGCTAAGACATCAGAATAAGACAAAGAGGCTTGCCTGGGCCATGAAACATCGCCACTGGACTACTGAAGACTGGAAGAAGGTATTGTGGACTGATGAATCAAAATTTGAACTCTTCGGTTCACCATGCAGGATCTTTGTACTCAAGTAGGGGAAGAATGGTTCCACAGTGTGTGGCATCAACTGTCAAACATGGAAGAGGAAGTGTGATGGTCTCAGGCTGTTTTGCTGGATCCAGGGTGGGTGACTTGTACATAGTGAGAGGCACCCTAAACCAAAACAGCTACCAAAGCAATCTGCAGCGCCATGCAATACCCTCTAGTATGCACCTAATTGTTCAGGTGTTCATCCTACAGCAAGATAATGAACCAAAACATAAATCCAAGCTATGCCACAACTACCTCAGGAAAAAAAGAACAAGATAAGCTTGAAAACATGGAGTGTCCAGCACAGTCTCCAGAATTAAATCCCATCGAGCTGGTTTGGGATGAACTGGACAGAAGAGTGAAAGCAAAGCAACCTACAAGTGCCACACATTTATGGGAACTTCTGCAACAGATATGGGAAGAACTTTCAGAATAATATTTGATTTCTATTGTAGAACGAATGACACAGGTGTGTCCAGCTGTTCTATGGTAAATGGTTATTGGACTGATTCTTATATAGAGCTTTTCTACTCTCCTGGAGCACTCAAAGCGCTTTGTATCTGCCAACGGTGGCTACTTTGTAGAGTCAAAGTTGATAGTACATTTTGGTCTCTAAATTGATTCCATGATTTATTTTTTTAACTCCAACTGCTTATTTGTACAATGTTTTCATTTCAGAGTGCAATGAGACAGTAAAATGCATAATTTTCACAAAAAATAAATAAAATTGGGGTGTTCTAAAACTTTCAACTGATACTGTATGTATTTAATGTTTCAACGCATTTGCAATGAGATTTAATACCTCTGTAATTAAGGCAACCTCCAGCAGTGGTTCCTGCAACCCATCGGCCCTCATACACAGAGGTCGTCCACTGACTAGAGTCACTTTCATTAAAGAAGTCAGGAGACAGCCCGCAGATGTCAATATCTGCGTAGAACTTACAGAAATCTTCAAAGGTCATCCTGTAAAAATCAGATAAATTTTGAGATTACTTGTTTTACATCTGTATGGGCTGTTAGGGTATAATGCAAAAAGTGTTTGTATTTTGTGTTTGATTTTTTGTTTTTTAATTTCACAAGTTTTCTTACCAAAACTCTCCATCATCAGCCACTGAAAGGCACATTTCACGGTCTTCAGGACTCACAGTTTGCCACAGAGGAGACCTCAAAGAAAATTTGTCATTTTATTTAGACAAAGAGACAGCTTTTCAAAATTCTTTTGAATATTCAAAGGGAGTTCAGAAAAGCTCTCCTGCATGTGTCCACAGCCATACTTGAAATATAATCTTTACACTAGATAGAAGGCTACCACATAGGTTTTGACATTGATTTGCTTTCCATCTTTTAAGTTGAGAGCCATGAGTGTGAGTCTGACTTACCGATCACTCCAGTCTCCTTTCCACTCTCCTTTACCCCAGGGATTCCACAAACGCACAAGGTATGCGATTTTTCCTCGACTCATCATCTGACCGCAAACCACCATTTTTTTTTGTTAATTTTAAGTATCATTTGATTTTTTTTCTATTTCCAGTACAAATCTTTACCTCTTTGATACCTGTCACAGTGTATGCATGGCCTGCAACCAGTCCATTTGGTAATATTTCGTTACCAGATGTCTCCTACAAGACAAAAGCATTTGCCACTAGTAAAGTAGAATATTATACATTAAGAACATCAACTTCTATTGATGATGATGAAGCCAATAAATCATTTTACGTGTGCAAGTGACTGTGAAATTGTTTGCTTGTGGCTAAATTCGACACTACTTTGCTCAGATGTTTTTCAAAATGTTATTTCCTTGCAGAGTTAAATATATACTAAATGTCAGACTGGCATGAGTACGCACAATAACTGAACAACAGCAGCTTTGGTGTCTTAAAACAGGACCCATTCATTTATATCAAACTGGCTCATGTAAGCAAAGGTTTTCCAGCATTTGAGTCTTGATTCTCTGTCTATAGCACACACAGAGCCATCCCTGCCTTGTCAATGAACTTTATCCTTGGGTAATGTCAAGACCATGTTATAAGTGTTACAAACAGTCGTTTTATAGTGGCATTAATAAAGTGACTGTAATAAAAGCTTATAACCATGACTAAGGTCTTTTTAGCTGCTTTGGCAGATGTTTAAACCTCTGTCTCTAGGTAGATTCTGACAAAATGATACCAAAACTGCGCCGGATACAGTTATAAAACTTTATAGGTGTTTAGTGAGATCAAAATGAAAGTATAAAAATAAGTCCTGTATGAGTGAGTATAGGGCAGCAGAAGTATCAGGGACATTAAGCCAATGCTGGTGCTTCTGTGTGGTGTAGTTCTACTTACCCTGGGAGGTGTACCACAGCCCATCAGTGTGTTTGATTTGCCAGCTCTGCAGATCAGCCCCCACAGGCTTGGACTCGGTTGTGACAGCTCGATGTTAATGTGGACGCCACCGGTGAAGTCCATCATAGCCTCTGAAGGAGTTCCAGCAATCATGTCGGAGTAGGAGCCACAAACCCTGACAGGATAATACAGTTTTTTTTAATATTTAGAGAAATCACACCTTCAACTCTCATTATGTCTAAGATTAAGATTGCATACTTAGCATAGGCTTTCTCCAGGAGAGCAGGCCAGAATTCATTTTGGTTTTTGGAATGAACAAAGATTAGTCTGCCATTGATTGTTGGTAGTTTGTCATCAATGACCACATCCTCCCACTGCCCAAATCTCCAGAACTGGGGGGAAAAAAGAATCTAGCATGTCACTCTTGATTTATTATTTAAAAAAAAAAGAAAAAGTCTTGTAGCGTGTTGGCGCTCGACCTCGGTCTGTAAAAGTGATGATAGATGAAAAGATGATTCGGGCCAGGAATTTTGTTCCCTTTTAGGCCAATCTGATATTTAGGAAAATGCATATCCAGCAATTTATTTCCTCTCCTGTGACCCTAAAAGTTGCAGGACTCTGCATTTACGTTACACACAGTTTAGTTTCAACATGAAAATGTGTTAAAATAAAATATAAGCAGTAAAAAAAATTTAAAACCCATAGCACATGCTTTTTAGCTAGTTTATTCTGCTGTGGTTAAAATACAAACAAAAAGGAACATCTCAAAAATAAATAAATAAATCACTAAGTATTTTTGACAGGTGTGTTTTTATTGAACACAAGTAGTGATCAATAAAAATAATTTGTGTTGTTACATGTTGGTGTTTACCCTGAAGTGAAAAATCCCACAGTAGTTCTCATCAAATCTTTGTTCAAGCGGGACAACTTCTGCGAAAATGGATTTCTGGAATGTCAGCGCTCCGATTGACGCAAGAAACCAGCAGTTTCCTGTTCAAAAATATTCTCAGGGTTACCACAGGAAATCAGGTGAGGAGAACAATAAATATATTCATGAAGACATTTCCCTACCTAGTTTCCCTTGACCAAAATCAAACCTGGAGACTCCGTCAAGTACTAAGACTGGAAAACGAACAATTTCCTGAAAAAGGGAGAGTGCTGATCAGGAAGTAAAGTTCTGGAAGTGTTAAAGGAAAGGATGCACATTTCTTTTAGTGTATCCTTCACAAAAATGTGCATTTGTTCATCCACACTGAAATAATCTTTCAATTATTTTAAGAGTCACAATAGCATGTTGAAGACTGTTGTTTCGTTGAACCAAACAAAAAAGCATACCTGAAATCTGTTTTTAGAAAGTATAAGAGAAGGTATTACTTGTACTTAAAGCTGCAGTGTATCAAATATCTGTGTCGAGCTCTGACAAACTAAACCAGAAACCTGACTGTGCTGTTTTTGAACCGTGGAATAAGAAATTCTTCGTGTAGTGAGACTCAATCTAAATGCAGTGAAAGTACTAAAACTGAATTGCTCTTTTTATAATCAGCTGAGCAGTTGAGCTTTACAAAATTACACTCACTGCTGGTCGCCGCCACTCCACACAGGCCAGTTCAGAAGGGCTCAGTATGCCATGGCGTAGTATCTCTTGACCAATGGACCTTCTGTCAGGTAGAAATGTCTCATCAATGAAGCTTACTCCTCTTGTGAGGCAGTACTGTTTCAACTGCTCGTAGTCTTGGCCCAAGAACTTCTGGGGCTTGGTGAATTTTCCGAAACCGTCCTTCTTGTAGCGGGCCTCTATGATGTTCAAGCATACACCGGGAGGAGGCATCACTGCAGTTTTTGAACTGTTTACAAGAATTTTGCATTAAAAATCCAGAAAATATAAGAGATTAAAGAACGCAGCATTACCTATTTAAGGTTGGGTATAGATCAAGGGTGTGGGAATGGCATTTCAAAATGGGAAGTCATGACACAAATGATCACATACATATTTTAAATAAATATAATGAGCTACAGTATGATGGAAAAAGATAATTCCATTATGGTGCATAAAATCATATTTGCAGCTCGCTGAAAAAGAGCAAAAATGAGTTCAAACTTTAGATAGTTCATGTGAAATTATTGCAAATTGCGGTTCGCCCAACTATTATGAAACATAGTTTACAACAAGATTATTATTAACATTATAATACTAATAATAATTAGGCATTTTTGAGAACTTTTTTGTCAGGAAAACAAGATTAAAGGCTTTTATATTAATTATTATGTTATATTGTTCCAAACATTAAAAATATATGTAAAATGTAAAGGTTTTCATTATGTTGGACCTTATTTGCACCCTGAATGGAAAAATTTAAAAGTATACCTTTAACATTCATTCTTTTTCAGGGGCTTCTCTTTTGTTAGTGTCTAAAAATGTAAACAAATTCTGCTATAAACACTTTTTTTATGATAGTCTTAAAAATATAATATCTTCATGCATAAACAATACCTTGTAAGGTCAACTGTGTTAGGATGCCTGGGTCGTTTTTGAGTTTATTATATTATTTATACTTTCTAGTCTTTGGTTTCTTTGAGTTCTGTCTTATGGTTTATGTCTCTGTCTTCTTTAGTTGCTCTGTCTCCCCTATCACCTGTATCCCCTTGTCTAGTTCGCGTCTCTGTGTATCCTTAGTTCCTATATCCCCGTGTTCAGTCAGTGTTTGTGTCTGCCCTGGTCCCACATCTCTGTTCCCTCTGTAGTGCCTGCATGTGAGTCTGTGTTATGTGTTTCCTGTTTTACTTTGAAGGTCTCTGTCTTATCTCAGTGTGTTCAGTTTACGCTTCTTTGGTCTCGTCAGTTCTGATTTGTCCCAGCTGTGTTTTCCTCCTGTTACTCATTCCCTGATTGCTCCTTCTGTGTATTTAAGCCCTGTGTTTCTCTGTGTCCGTGTCGTGATCTACTGTTTACCTTGCTGTGTGTTCTGTCATTCCTCCAGTTTAAGTTTATTTTGAGTTTTTCCAGTTATGTTATATTTTGAGTATCACATTAAAGCCATTTTGAGTTCACGACTGTCTCCGGAGTCTGCACCTTGGGTCCTATCCCTGTCCGCACACAGCTGCCACCTATCAAACTGCACCAGTAATAACATTTGAACTTACAAAGCCCATAGTTTGCATTCACAGCAGCAGGAAGGACCACACTGATACAAATGCAAATTAAGGATCATCTGGTTTAAAGTTTTAAAAGCAGGTCTTACCTCACTTACTCAAAAGTGAAAAGCTGTGCAGAAAAAGGTGTAGTTGCGTCGCGGTGAACCGGTGGGTGAGAACCAAGTAGCTTCGACTGTGCATTTAAGCACCTGAGGCTGTGCACGCCGTCCTTATGTTTCTAACACAGATATGAAAATCACCTTTGAACAAACCACGCCTGTGCTGACCTGTAGCTCATAGTAATCTACTTCCTGCAAGCTACTGTATGACCAACAGAGAGAGGGCCTAGAGAGAGTTTCACTTCATTCAAGTGACCCTACACTAGCCCATATTTATGTGTATCACAGTCTTATACGTTTATGTGTTTATGGTATCCACTTTCATGTTTAGAGAACAGCAGTTGCTGTTAATGGTTAGCCTGTCAGCAGTAAAATTGAAAGTACTCACTGCTTGCAGTAGAGTAGAATAGAATAGAGTGCCTTTATTGTCACTAAACAGATGTACAATGAGATACAGAGCATCTCCTGCTCACTATGGCTGTGCTTCTTGTTGGCTTCCAGTGTTTGCAGTCCTCACAGTATGACTGAAATCTGTTTTTTATATCTTTGTGTGAACCTCAAAAGTTTTATAGTTGATAAATAACTGTTGCCATAAAAAAAATCAACATTAGTCACCATTTTGAGATGATCTCAGCAGACTCAGTGACGTGCTGAACACATTTAAGAAATCATTCTTTGTTTCTTAAAACAAAGCCCATATATTATATTTGTGTGACAGCCATCCTAAACCAAATTTGTGCCCACACACCTGTCAGACAAAGAGCCACTTTACCCCGTCTGACCCAATTTACTTAGTTAATTACCTTTAAGCAAACATACAAAGAAAACCCCTAATAAGACCTGTTACTGGGAGTCACATGGTCAGTAAACTGTCAGCGTATGTGTCGCTTTAGAACAAACATCCTATGAAATATAGACGTGTGAAGCAAAGTGTCCTGCCCTAAACAGCAGCATGAAATTTATAAATTGAGCACATGGCTTGGACGTATCCCAGGCTAATGTAAGGTGTGTGCCAACTACCATGACACACCTGCCACCATTAGCGTTAGACTTAATGATTATTCACTGTGTAAACAATAGCAGGCACACAGTTGTTTTATGGTGCTGCTAAGCCTTGTTTAGTTAATAGGTCAAATTTAACAACTGAACTGACATTACACTGGCAAGTCAAGCTGAACTCTCTGTGACTGAAGATACTAAAGGAACCAATATTGTATTTATAGTTAATCTTTTTTCAAAAAGAAAGTGAAAAAATATGGTTAAAAATAGTTTCTTGAGTCCAGAAGGGCAGTGTCAGCCTACTTTAATGAGCAAAGTTGATTCAAAGGGTAATGAAATATTATATAGGCTGAGATACAGCTACTACTGGTCTGTGTATTATCTGTCAATCCATTCACAATTTAATTCAAGTCATAATTGAATTTTTGTGGTATAGAATAAGAAGTATTTACTAACTCATATTGAATATTATCAAAATAATTAATTCACATGTTAATTATGTGTTATAATTTATTTTAATGTGAGATGGGAACATTTGCGTGCTACCATCTGCACGGTAGCATGCAAAGAACAACTATAATCTCCCATATTTTAAAACATGTTTAAAAATGTCATCTTTGGACTTTAATACAGGGAATCTGTTACCTGTCTGTCATGAGAGCTCCACCCTGAAACTACACCTTAAAAACACAAAGGCAGATGCACAACAGACGACATCTGCTTTCTACATTTTGACTCGCAAAAAAACAGTCAAATTACTTTGTTTAGACAACGTTTTAAGGTGATTTGAATGTGCTAGTCATCTTTTTTCATAAAGACTATGTGAAAAGTGGATTTATATTTGAATCATTCAAAACAAAAGCAACCATGAACTCACAAAAACTCAAACCCTGGATTCAAAACCGAGCTATTTTCCCATCTTTGCTGTATTAGGTTTTGCATTTATCATTAATCATTCTTGGGCAGCTCATGCTTTGTGACTTGATACTTGCATATTTGCAGAGTTGACTGACTTGGAAGCTTTTAATCATGTAAATGTCTGCATTTCTTCTATTCTTCTCTCCGTTTGTGAACAACAGACAGCTGTACCAGTAAAAAAAACAGATCAGGGAGGGCTTATTGAATTACGATCACGTGCTGACAGAAGTAGCCTCGGGCATTTACAGGTATGATAAAAAGTGGAGTTTCTCTCCACCCACAGTCACTGCTGTCTAGCTTTTTGAGGTAAGGCAAGGTACTGTACTCGTACTGTAAACATTCATAAGCAGCTTGGTTTACACTTTTTTTACCTCTTTTTGTAACAGTTATGTGGTGTTGGTATTGTTACATTATTAACGCTGAAAAATACTTTACAGTCTTATGTAAAAGACTCTTGTGTAAAGGAGTACACCTACTTAGCGATGTACTGTGGGCACGTCGAAGAAGAAAAACGAGTTTGTGTAATGAGAATTAAAGCTAATCTTTACACTTCTTAATGTTTGTTTTCAACAGCTTTCAAACCCTGCAGCTATGCCTCCTCCAGGTGTGTGCATGAACATCATCAGTGCACGCCACATGAAAAATGGCTACGGGACTGTCACCAACCCCGAGAGGTTCCTAAACCAAGACTTCCACCAGCTGAAACAGTACTGTCTCATCCAACATCTAAGGTACATCGATGAGATGTTTCCCCCTGACAGAAATTCAATCGGCAATGGGATACTGACGCCTTCTGACCTTGACCGAGTGGTGTGGCTGAGACCAGGGGTGAGTGTTGCATTGGCTGAAAACCCCAAATGCAAGTACATATAATCATGAAAGCTGTTTGAGGAGAGGGTGTGGTCTGTGGCTCTGCTGCAGAGGAGTGGTGGGGCATTGGGTTTGGTGGGCAGTGCCAGTGTAACTGATCACACCAATCGGTCCAGCTCTGCAGCTCCTCTGCAGTGGAGCCGAGGGCCATACCCCCACCACGGCGATGCTCTAACAATCTACAAATCTAGATAGTTAAGGCTCTTCATGAAGCATAGAAATCTGCTAATTCATTTGTACGTTGGGTTATTGGAACCTTTGTTTCATGGTGTGCCTGAATGCTTTACCAACCACAAACGAGGATGCACATTTTAGCTGCATGAAGTATTTCTTCAAGGGAAACAAAGACAAAACTGTATGAAACACCAACTGTTAATTTGCCGAATGATTGTTAATGTTTCTTTAACTTCTATAACTTTTGTTGCAGTAAGCCCAATAATAATAATGATGATAATAATAATAAAGAAATAATAACAATAATCCATAAAGATAAGAGTTTGTTTTGTTATTTCAGAAAATTGTTCCAAATCCATCGTTTGTTGCTGACGGGGTGTCCAGGTTCGACTTTGGTCAAGGTTGGGTTAGTAAGTATACTTATTCTTTCACTTCTTTGCGTCAATCTAACCATAATCAGCACAATTACTACTGCGATATCTGCACAGTAAATCATTCTGACAACTCAACTACATATTTTTACAGAAAACTGCTGGTTTATTGCCTCTATTGGAGCTCTGACATTTCAGAATCACATCCTTGGACAAGTTGTTCCACTTGAGCAAAACTTTGACGAGGATTACTGTGGACTGTTCCACTTCAGGGTATATACAGTACCATAATATCATTCATACCATTGAAAAAGTCAGTGGTAAAATGTTGTCTGTACATTTTAAAGTTGTCTTTTGTTTTGATATTCTGCCATTGCCAAAGATAAATATCTAAAAGCAGGTTGCATTAAACAATGCATAAAACCTTTTCGCTTTCTCTTCTCTCTCAACTGCTTAGTTCTGGAGATTTGGAAGATGGGTGGATGTCATCATTGATGACAAACTACCAACAATTGATGGCAGACTCATTTTTGTCCACTCCAGAGATCCAACTGAATTTTGGCCAGCTTTGCTGGAAAAAGCCTATGCAAAGTATATAAAAACCCTGTGTTATTTCTCAGTTTACAGTGCTCTTTGTGGGAGTTATTTGTCAGTAAAAATAACAATATATCCACTTTTTTCAGGGTGTGTGGTTCCTACACAGATATGAATGCTGGAACTCCTGCCGAGGCATTGGTAGACTTCACTGGTGGGGTCCACATTTATATTGATCTGTCAAAGCCCCCTCCAGACCTGTGGGAAATGATGTGTCGAGCTGGTCAATCCAAGTCACTGATGGGTTGTGGGACACCACAGGGTGTAAGCATTGATTTACACCACATAAAGCAACATGCTGCCTTGTAATCTTTGTTTTGAAAACAGTCAGGGGTGTCTGTCTGACTGAAAGATCGGGTGATAAAAAAGAACCTTCAGAATAATAGCTCTTAGCTCAGAGTTATCTTCTCCCAGCAGAAAAATAAAAACACTGTGTTGGGATTGTTCCATTTTGAGAAAGTGGTTTGATAACTCCCCCATTCACAGCGGCTCGAAATCTACCTGTCACATTAAAGTAAACAGCACCGCCCTGTTTCCCTGAAGTTAAGCGCAATACCTAGAAAGCAGTACAGTTTAATAGAATGAAGAAAATCCCGTACATGTTAATGCAAGAGTGAACCACTCTCAGGGCCATAGTATGTTGTGAAAAGAAAACACTGGTAAATGTTTTTGACGATCATGTTTTTAGAGATATTTTTTATCAGAATTCAAATTAAAGTATAATCAGTGTTTTGCATGTAGTATCTTTCTAAATACCTTAAATTACAGCAGAACAGTACCAATACTTTGTGGGTTGCATTTCTGTTTGTATGAAAGAATCTTCACCTTTTTCATCATGTAGTTTATTTTAATTAATTAATGACCCATAAGTGGCTCCACAGGATCTTGTTTGGCCCCTCAAACAGTAACTACACGGATAAGTCTTTTCAGACAGAGAGAGCTACTGATACATTAGACTCTGAAATACTTGTCCAGATGGTTTACTCTCATGATGAGTGAAAGCACTTAATCCAGCAGAAGCACGTCTCATATGATGTATGATAATCTTGCACCGTTTGAACCTTCACAAGAATTTAAGAAGCTGTTTGTTTTCCAAATAATGTTGATATATCCTACTGTATGAGCAAATACATGGGGCGACCGTGGCTCAGGGGGTTGGGAAGCGTATCTGTAACCGGAAG